AAGGGGCCCCTTTTTTTCCCCCCCCCCCCCCCCCCCCCCCCGGGTATGGAAATTGGAAAAGGAGACAAGGCACGTCAAAGCTAATAAAAGAGCTTTGGGACTGCTCATGTATAGCGCCACGTGTCAGGGTTTCCAGTGACAGCGAAACACACGTCGGTCAGATACTTGTATCCTTCACCACTCACCACGATATATAGAAAGAGCTAGTAGGCTCTCACTTCCTCTCCCACACCCCACTCACCGCCGCCTATAGCTGTGACACACGTCCTCTCACCGGACTCTTTTAAATCATATCCTATTTGTTTTTTTCCCAAAATTAAAATTAAATAATATTATCTTTTTTTTTTTTTTATTATCCTATATTTGTTAGGTGGATCCCAACGGAAGGGTTTTTTTGGTCATTGCAAAACAACTCTCAGACGCTTATTTGTGTGCTAGTAGGAGAAGTGTTGCCGTTCCTTCTCGAACAAAAAAAAAAAAAAAAAAAAAAAAAAGAGCTTTGGATTAGACGCTCCCCTTTCCCTTTTTTGTATATATATTTTTTTGATATTATTACTTACGTGTGCTCTACGCGAATCTCTCAATATCTCTCTCTCTTTCTTCTTCTCTTTTTCCCGTCGCTACCTTGTGGTTGAGTGAGTAAAAGTCATCTCATAACCCTCCATGGAAATGGGAGAGAGAATCATCAACTCGAGTTGTTAGGGTTTCCGATTTTGGTAAGCTTGTGTCGGTGATCTCTCCAGAGAACAAGAAGAAGAAATAAGAAGATTAGGGTTTCTCTCTAGGGATAGGTTTTTGTATTCTCTCACTCTCTCGCAAGGAGGCTGGTTTGGTTTATGTTGAATCGATCGTCTGTCTTTCCTCAGAAAATGCGAAAATCGTTCAAGGATTCACTCAAGGCTCTTGAAGCTGATATCCAGTTCGCCAACACCCTGTATGTATCCATATATATATATCTCCATCCCTACCTCTCTCTCCCTCTCTGTGTCTTTTTTTCTTGATGTTTTGGTCAATCCCTTCCGAAATCTGTTTTAAGCCTGATTTTGTTGTTTTGGTCTCTTCTGGTTCAATTAGGTCAGATTGTTTATGCACTTTTCGAGTTGTATTCAATTAGACGATGTTAAGTTTTTGATACTTGTGAATCTGAATCTCTGTTGTCTGTGTTTGCTGATGTCATGATGAAAATATGAGACTTTGCGTTTACGCGAGCTCCATTATTTCCAATTTTATTACTTGGCTAGTCTCAGACGCCACCACTTGTTGGTCACGATGACATCACACATTATCTATCTGTACTAGTCATTCCTTTTTTCCTTTGGTCATAAAATTCTGGTCCTATCCTAAGTTGACTTGGTATGTTGGATTCAGCTGTGAAGCAACATGTTCATGTCCTCGGAACATTTTGCATCAGCAGATTGTTGGGAATAAAAATGACTTTTCTTTTGTTTATAATTGATTTTTGTATGAAGGGCATCAGAGTATCCAGAGGAGTATGATGGTGGCTGCGTGCAGATGAGATTATCTTACAGCCCCGCGGCTCCTCTCTTTCTCTTCCTTCTCCAGTGGACAGATTGTCATTTTGCAGGCGCTTTGGGATTGCTTAGGATCCTCATTTATAAGGTGGATTGATTTATTTTTTTGTTGTTGTTTTCTTAGTGATCCTCTGTTCTTGTTTGTCTGATATGGTTTTTTCCTCTATTTTTGTGTAGGCATATGTTGATGGGAAGACCACAATGTCGCTACATGAACGCAAAGCTAGCATCAGAGAATTCTATGGTAATTAGTGTTTTCCACGACCAGAGTTTTAAGTAGATTTTTCAAATGGCGCATTAGTGTCTCTTAGGCTAAGCATGTTAGACTTAAGTCCACCTGGAGTGTTTTGTTTTTTTTTTCTGACAAGCAATGGATGTTGATGTGCAGATGTATTGTTTCCTTCGCTATTGCAACTTCACGGAGGGATAACCGATGTAGAAGCAAGGAAACAGAAGGAGATATGCGACAAAAGATACCGGAAGAAGGACAGAACAGATAAAGGAAAGATGTCGGAGATCGACTTGGAGAGGGAAGAAGAGTGTGGAATTTGCTTGGAGATTCGGAATAAAGTTGTTCTTCCTACTTGCAACCACTCCATGTGTATGAACTGCTACAGAAACTGGTATAGTCATAGTCAGCTTCCTTTCTTTACTCTCACCACTTATTAGTTTATTCACACACTCATCAAAACCTTTTGTAAAAAAAACTTATAGAATCTGCTGTTGTTGTTTGAAACAGGCGTGCACGGTCACAATCGTGCCCCTTCTGTCGAGGCAGCTTGAAAAGAGTGAATTCTGGTGATCTATGGATTTACACTTCGAGCCAAGAGATTGCGGATATACCAGGGATTTACAAGGAGAATCTGAAGAGGCTATTGATATACATTGACAAGTTGCCTATCGTTGCTTCTGATCCAAATCTAGTCTCTTATGCTCCTCTTGCTCGGTGAACAAGCTCTCCTAAGCTTGCTCTCTCTCTCTCTCTCTCTCTCTCTCTCATTCCTTGTAATAATTTAGCACATAGCCATTTCATCTCCTTTATGTCCCTTTTGTATATAACGTTATATGTGTTTTTTTGCTCTTTTAATTTATTTTTTCCAGCTTTCTATACAGTCCCTCTGATTCGGATTTGTGTAACCTTTAGTTATCGACATTTGTTGATTGGCTCTACTTAATCACATTGTTGGATCAGATTATGAAATATAGGAACCGATTGATTTTTTTGGGGGTATATTATTGTAGTTTGGTTTCGGTATGGATTGATTAAGTAAAATCGGAAACACGTTAATTGCAGCCATTGTTTATCTTATTGGAAGGGAAGGACAGACCATATCATTGTTTGACGTGGCTTTTCTTAATTGGACAAGAACTTACATGACCCAATCAGGCTATAGCTCATCTAGATTCTACTGCCCAGTGGACTTGAAACATAATCGGATAACGCAGGATTTAATAAATAAGGTTTGTATTCTTGTTCACCGTCAGATGGATTTTGTGAACTGATCCAACGGCCATGATAGTATATCCAAGATAGCGCATGCATCATCTATAGACTATAATCATGGATCAAGAAACAGAGCTTTCTTCTCTATCTTCCTGAAAACACAAATCGCAATCGCCGGAGAATGGCCGCCACTTCCACCGCTGCTTCTTCCATCATGGGTACTCGGGTAGCTCCCGGTATCCATTCCAGCTCGGGTCGGTTCACAGCCCGGTTTAGTTTCGGGAAGAAGAAGGCAGCTCCGAAAAAGAGTGCGCCCAAGACGGTGACTACAGACAGGCCTCTTTGGTACCCAGGCGCCAAATCTCCTGAGTGGCTCGACGGTTCCTTGGTTGGCGATTACGGTTTCGATCCCTTTGGTTTAGGTAAACCGGCAGAGTATCTCCAGTTCGATATTGATTCGCTTGACCAGAATCTGGCTAAGAACTTAGCCGGAGACGTTATCGGAACCCGTACTGAAGCTGCTGACGCCAAATCGACGCCGTTTCAGCCCTACAGTGAGGTGTTTGGAATCCAGCGATTCAGGGAATGCGAGCTCATCCACGGACGGTGGGCGATGCTCGCCACTCTCGGCGCTCTCTCCGTCGAATGGCTGACCGGCGTTACATGGCAAGACGCCGGAAAGGTAACGCACTTCCTCCTCCGATTGGCTAATAAATTAGTTAATCCCATGAATTATCCAAATAGTTGCGTTTGCGTTTGCGTTTAGGTACTAGCTAATTAGTTGATTCTGCGTTTGCTTTGCGTCTGTATCTCTCTCTTTCTTTCTTAGCGTTTGCGTTAGAATCGGACTGTTTAGAGTTTATTCTGTTCCCTCAAATAGAAGGGTTGAGTAAAGACTGAATTAAAAATAAATATACAAAGTGAGGTGTTCAAATCAATCATTAGAGTGATATTTAAATATTAGCTGAGATGTGTTATGTTATTGGATTAGGTGGAGCTTGTAGATGGGTCGTCCTACTTGGGGCAGCCATTACCGTTCTCGATCTCGACATTGATATGGATCGAGGTGTTAGTGGTCGGCTACATCGAGTTCCAGCGCAACGCTGAGCTAGACTCCGATAAGCGTTTGTACCCGGGAGGCAAATACTTCGACCCGCTAGGTTTAGCGGCTGACCCGGAGAAGAGGGCTCAACTTCAGTTAGCCGAGATCAAGCACGCACGTCTTGCCATGGTCGCCTTTTTGGGATTCGCAGTTCAAGCGGCTGCAACGGGTAAAGGTCCACTCAACAACTGGGCTACTCACCTCAGTGATCCACTCCACACCACCATCATTGATACCTTCAACTCTTAAAATCATCATTATCTCCATTATCTATCATCTGGTTCTATTTTGCATAAACAGAGCTATGATACTGAATCAAGTTTGGGCTTTTTCACCAAAAAAAAGATAATCAAGTTTGGGCTTTTGCTTGTTTGGTTTGTTTTACTTGTTTGGCCCATTTCATTATAGTAGCCTTTGCAGATATGATTTATACTCGTTCGTTATATAGATGATCAAAAGATGAAATCAATGGCCCAATAGCTTTAATGTATTTTGGGTCGTAGAGTGGCTATATACTCCTAAAAGAGGGAGACCGTACAAAAAAGATAGATAGACGCAATTGTGAAAAGAAAGTAATAACACCGCGTCAGAGGGACTTGGATGAACAATGAAAGTGATGTCTCGTACAGATGTCACTGTTCCGTAAGTTGGGAGGACGTTGAATTATTGTTATTTTTCTTAATTTCTTTTTGATTAGGACACATACATGATACATCAAGCAGGTTCAATGACTTGCTTGTATGCACCGAAGAAAGAAAGAAAAAAACAACAAACAATATCTTGAAATAATTAATTTAACGCGGAGACTCAGTTGAATACGATTGTAAAATATAGAATCCCCAAACGAAATATTCCTTAGAGGGTCGTCTAATTCTAAATAGTATTAATGAACACAGAAATAGTTGGTTCAACTATCAAAAATGGACATGCACTGCTCTGCATACTCGGGAAGTTTACAAAAGCGGTGTCCTTTGCACGGGGAGTCGGGGACCATATGGAGAAACTGTATGGATTCATCTCCGTGATGTCACAATATCGTTTTCAACGATTAGACCAATGCCAAGCCAAAACTGCTCTAAAAGCTATAAAAAGTGTTTGGTTATGAAGAAAAGTAAAGCTAAGTGAATATATAAACATGAGAGAGAATATTTGGGAGTTCAAATTTTTGCTCGATGAGAAATTTGTTTAGACTTTTAAAAAACAGTTATGATTTACGTAGATTGCAAAATGATAATCACTCATACTAAATTATATAAAAAAACAAAGAAACTATCCATTGCCATCACTGATACGAAAAGTCGAAGAAACTCTGTTGACGAAAGAAAAAGCGCCCGAACTCGACGAATCGTATCCTTCAAACCTCGATCCGAATTCGTTTCTTGAAGGATTCGAATATCCCCGATCATCTTCAATCTCTGGAACATTCTCATCTCCGTTTAGATACCTAAGTACGTTTCTCATCGACGGCCGAGACTCCGGGTTCTGGTGGCAACAGAGCAATCCGACGGCGAGAGCAATCCTCGCTTCTCCGCCATCGTAACCAGATCCGAGTCTCGGATCCATCGCGCTGAGAATCTCACCGTTCGCGTGCAGCTCCATTACCCAATCGACTAAGAAGAAGCTTCCGGAACCCGTTGGTCTTCTCCCGGAGACGATCTCTAACAGCAAAACGCCAAACGCGAAAATATCAGACGCAGTTGATGGTTTGCCGTTGCGGGCTAGCTCTGGCGCCAAGTACCCAATGGTTCCAACGAGTGCTGTTGTTTGCGATAGCGCTCCTCGTTCGTAAAGCCTCGCCAGTCCAAAATCTCCCAATCTAGGGTTCATCTTGGAGTCGATTAGCACATTGCTAGGCTTCACGTCTCTATGAATCACAATCTTCTCCCATTCTTCGTGAAGGTACAACAAACCAGACGCGATTCCTTTGCTGATTTCAAAACGCACGTTCCAAGACAAAACGGCGCCGCTTCGTCTCGGTACTGTGTAGAGTAGCGAGTCTAAGCTTCCGTTGGGAATGTAATCGTAAATCAACAAGAGATCGTTCTTGTGTTTACACCATCCTTGGAGATTCACCAGATTCTTATGTCTTAGTTTCCCCAAACTCTCGATCTCCGCCACAAATTCTCGAACACCTTGCATGCTACTAGGAATGATCTTCTTCACTGCGATGAGATCCGAACTTGGTAGCTTTCCTTTGAAAACGGTTCCAAACCCTCCGGTTCCGATGATTCTTGTCTCTTTGAATCCATCTGTGGCCTCGTAAAGATCTCTGTATTTCAACCTGCGAGGATGATCGATTTCCCAGTCTTCTAGCGTTTCTTCTTGTCCCAATCTCTTCTTGTACATGAAGAAGAAGAAGAGTAACACAAGCATGACCAGCATAACGGCTGATAAAGCCACGACCAGAACTATTACTTGAGAATTAACCCCACTTTTTTTGGCCGTATTCGGCGGCGGAGGAGGAAGCTCAGAGAGGTTAAGCACATCTGCCTTTGGACGATCTCCGCCGCTTGAGAAACTCCAACCCATCACGTAGTGAGCACTCGACTGACCTCTCCCCGTCGATGCGGTGAATCCCACGTACATTTCTTGTTGCACAATCTCCAACAGTTTTGGAACATGTCGAGAGATCAATGGCTTTGTGGGTTTAAACCCCAACCTCGCCGGATAAACGGTGACGTTCAGCATTTGTGTTGGTCCATCATACTCAACAAGGGCTTGGATCGGATTGCCACTCTCAAGCTGGAAATCTTCTTTTTTGTTAGGATCATCATTGCTGTAATACACGACCGGCTCTTGGATGTCCGAAGTACGACTGTTGTAGTTCAGACCGATGTCGTTTCCTATCCTGTCAGTGTTGTCGTCTCCTAGGATCTCTATCGTTCTCTTTGTTGAGAACTCACAAGTACTGTGCGGATCCAGCATTGGCACGGTAAGGCGTTGGAGACAGCGTGAATGTGAATCCAAAACCTTTATTGGTGGAGCTTGAAGGGATTATGACAAAGACGAAAGACGCGCTGAAGGAACCAATTGTGACGTTAGTGGAATCTCTACTAGTCTCCAGCAATTTCACCGGTTTGTGGTAGAAAGCTGTACCGGTGACGTTTGACTTTCGGTCAGTGAGTCTCAACAGTCCGTTGGGTTTGATCATGGCGGCTCCTTCCATCCGAATCTCTGATTGGTTTCCGCTAAAACCTCGGAAAGTAAACTCTGTTGTTATTGTTCTCTGAGCTCGGACATGGACGCTCAAAAACAGAAAAAGCTTGAATAAACATGAGACAGAGACCATGGATCTTTGAGTAGCCATGGGTGAGCGTAATAAAGAATTCGATAAGGAGAGGTACTTGTTCAAATTTCTGGTTTAAGGGATTTTCTTTTGGGTAAATTTGTTGTTTAGTACGTTTTTGAAACAATATATGCTATTTAGTACATTTCCTATTCATAATTTGCAAAATAGGTGTTGTGTAATAAGGGTTGTGTGTAATAGAATTTTGTGTGGGGTAAGAGGTTGTTGGGTGAAAAGACAAAAATAGGGCATGTGTTTGTTAGTGTGAGTCGTTTGTTTTGGAGAGAAAGAGAGGTGTGTAATAGTTTTTTTTTATAATTATTTTCTTTTTCTTTTTATTACACCATTCCAATCTAATAACTAAAATGTTCACCAATATATATATTATTTTTGATATTTTTCACAAACAAAAAAATCTATGTTTTTTTCTCTAAAATTTGATATGCATTTTGTTAAATGATTTTAAATTTATATAATAGTCTATATATATACAATTATATTTGTACATATATTTTTGTATACAGCTGTTATACATACATTTTTTGTACATATAATAAGTGTACAGTTTGATCTGTACAATTGTATTTGTACATATATCCTATTGTACAAATACGTGTACAATGCAATATAATAGTCAATATATATACAATTATATCTGTACATATATTTTTGTATACAGCTGTTATACTTACATTTTTCTGTACATATAATAAGTGTACAATTTGATCTGTACAATTGTATTTGTACATATATCCTATTGTACAAATACATATACAATTGTTTACTACATGTACACTAATATATGTACACTTATTAAGTTGTACAGATGTACATATATACACGTTTTATGTTGTACAGATTACATCTGTACACTTAGTAAGTTGTACAGATCTAAAATTTATAAAAATTATTTGTTATTATTAAATAAAATCATCAAACAAAATGCATATCATATAATAGAGAAAAAAACATAGATTTTTATATATCTGAAATTTTTAAAATTTCAAATTTTCATTTACTAGTATTTTACTTTTAAGATTGAAGGAGAAATTTAATAAAAAAGAAAAAAAGAAAAAGAAAAATATTAATTAAAAGTGGGAGTTGATCTCTTCGGTTTGGGGGGATAAATGTTCAGTGGCATTAATAGTAAATAGATGGATATAATAATGGCAAAACAGGGCTGTGTGCAAAAGTGAACAGTGACTTATGTGTATTTTGCAAATTATAAATAGTGAATGTATCAAATAGCATATTATGTTTTGAAAACGTACTATATTGCCAATTATTCCTTTTCTTTTATGGACATAGGTCTTTGTTTTTTTCTTAAAGATTCGGTGATTGAGATGAAAACGGAAAAAAATATCTAATTAAAAGAGTCAAAGAGAAGAAAATTCCCAGGATTTTCTTAACAATGTTCACATCACCATGTAATTGCCATGAAAAGATATGTGGCACCCAATGCTTTTGTGAAAAGTATTAATAATTTGTCTCGACCAGTATGCTTTGTTGCTTGAACTTGTGTATTAAAAGAGGTCTAACGCAACCATCAGGCTGACTTTGACGAATTCAGCGTTGACTTTTACTTCCTCAAAGTTTTGATATCTTTCTTTCTTTCCTTGAGGACAAGAAAAGGATGACTTTAAAAATATTCTCGTGGACTTGGACATTAGAGTTAGAGATAATAACCAATGACCATCGTTTCAACAGGTATAAGTGTTATTACCCACGCATAATTTTCTGATTTTTTATTTATTTTGCTAAGCCATGTTCACGTGAGATAATAATAACATAAGAAATTCAAAAACACCATATCTATATGTTAAACCGGATAATAACTTGATTATATCATTCCCAAAAAAGAAATCTTCTTCGTCCAGCTGTATTGCCTTAATCAATCAATATGGTTTATTTAACATTAAATTGAAGTGGACAAGTATATATTGTTTTGGGTAATAAGTGGACAAGTATTGACTTTTGTATATAATGCAAGACGTTTATTTACCATATGTCGTTTAAAATTTGTTTTACCGCTCGCAGTCATCTCTTTTAGTTTCTTTAGTTGGTAAAGCAACAATACTACTACAACTCCATACGCTTGAAAAAGCCGTTTGTCAAAAGAGCCGTTATAAATGGTAAATACCAAAAATACCATAACAAGATCAAAACAGAACTAGTATAAGTTACAACAAACTCGAAGCCTCCGGCACTAAGTGAATTTACAACTATCTACCACTCATAACAGAGCTCGAAGAAATCCTTGTAACGGAGAAAGACGCGACTGAGCCGGAAGCCCTATCCGAGGAAACATATCCTTCAAATTTGGATCCAATTTCGCTTCTCGATGAAGAATCTGAGTATCCCCAATTGTCATCAATTTGAGGAACATCTTCATCTCCGTTCATATACCTAAGCACCATTCTCATCGACGGGCGAGACGCTGGTCTTTGATGGCAACAAAGCAATCCCATGCCAAGAGCTAGCTTTGCTTCCCTTTCGTCGTAACCAGATCCTAGTCTCGGGTCGACCGCACGGATAATCTCATTACTCGCGTGCAATTCCATAACCCAGTCGGCCAAGAAGAAGGTCCCAGAGTCTGTTGGTCTTCTCCCGGAGACGATCTCTAACAGTAAAACCCCAAACGCGAAAACATCAGACGCAGACGAAGATTTACCGTTGCGGGCTAATTCCGGCGCCATATACCCAATTGTTCCCACGACGACAGTGGTGTTCGATTGTGATCCGCGTTCGTATAGCCGCGCGAGACCAAAATCTCCCAATCTGGGGTTCATATCGGATTCAATCAACACATTGCTTGGTTTCACGTCTCTGTGAATCACGATCTGTTCCCATTCTTCGTGGAGGTACAACAAGCCAGACGCGATTCCTTTAGCAATCTGAAAACGCACGTTCCAAGACAAAACGGCGCCGCTTCGTCTCGGGACACTGTAGAGCAGCGAGTCCAAGCTCCCGTTGGGGATATAATCGTAAATCAACAAGAGATCGTTCTTGTGTTTGCACCATCCTTGAAGGTTGACCAGATTCTTATGTCTTAGTCTCCCCAAACTCTCGATCTCTGCGATGAATTCTCGAACACCTTGCATACTATTCGGAGTTATCTTCTTCACTGCGATTTGATTAGACGGAGACGATGCGATGTTTCCCCTGAAAACGGTACCGAATCCTCCGGTTCCGATAATCCTATCCTCACTGAATCCATCAGTGGCAGCGAAGAGATCTTTGTATCTGAGTCTGTGAGGATGATTGATTTCCCAGTCTTCGAGAATCTCTCCTTGTTGCAGTCGCTTCTTGTACATGGAGAAGAAGAAGAGTAACGCAAGCAAGATCACTGTTACTCCCGATAGAGCTACGATCAGAGCGATGACCTGAGAATTGTAACCTCCCTTCTTCGCTTTATTCGGAGGCGCAGGAGGGAGCTCCGAGAGTTCTAGCGTATCCGCAATTGGACGATCGCCGCCGCTGGAAAAACTCCAACCCATCACGTAATGAGCACTCGACTCTCTCCCCGTCGCCGCTGTGAATCCTACATACATTTCTTCTTGCACGATCTGCGACAAGTTTGGAACCGGTAGTTGCGAGATCAAAGGCCTTATAGGTCGAGACCTTGATTTAGCCGGATAAACGGTGAAGTTAAGAGTTTGAGTTGGTCCATCGTAGTCCAAATGTGCTCTGATCGGCTCCCCGCTCTGAAGCCGGAAATCCTCTTTCCGATTAGGACCATCGTTGTCGTAATACACGACCGGTTCTTGATAGGCAGATTTGAGACTGTTGAAATTCAGACCGATGTGATTGCCTGAACTATCAGCACCGTCTTTGAATCCTTGTACGGTGTCGAATTCCACGGCGAAAACGTGATTCGTCGAATTCCCATCGTTGTCTTTGTTGAGAAGCCCCAAAAACTGCTCGGGATCAGCTCCGGGGCGATAAGGGGTCGGAGATAGCGCGAACGTGAAGCCAAAACCTCCGTTGCTTGAGCTTGAAGGAATGATGACAAATACGAAAGAAGTGCTAAAAGAACGAACCGTGTTGTTTGTGGAACTTGTATTATTAGTGTCTAGCAATCTAACCGGTTTGTTGTAGAAAGCTGTACCGACGACGTTTTGGTTTCGGTCAGTGAGCCTCAAGAGTCCGTCGGGTTTGATCATCGCAGCTCCTTGAGTACGAATATCCGATTCGCTCCCGTTAAAACCTCGGAAAATGAACTTTGTCGTTGGAGTCTCCGTTGTTGTCCGCTGAGCTCGTGCAGGGATGGTCAAAAGCAAGAAGAGTATAAGTGAGATTATGGATCTTGTTTTGTCGTCCATGATTAATGATTGGTGCATATGACACCAAAGAAAAAAAACAGAAACAGAGAGGAGGCTTTTGGAAGGAGAACAGATAACACAAGCAGTTTTCTCCGAGACTTAGTGATTAGAGGTGTTCTTCTTATATGGAGACTAGAGAAAATAAGGAGTTCTAACTTCTAAGGCTTAAACAAGTAATTGCGTTTGTTCTTCCTCTTCGCAAACTGGTTCACATTAGCGAGTATTGACAAAATATAATTTGTGGTCAATTTACAATTTGGAAGGAAAAAACAACTAAAAATAATTGACAAATATGTATATTATCTACTAAGAAAATTTTAATATTTTAAAAGTTGTGGTAGGACCTAAAATACTATTATTTATCATCTCTTCTAGTCAATGATTTGGATACTTAATTACATTAATTTTAAATATAGTTCTAAATAATTAAATAACTTGTTTAAAAAGTTTCTTGAAACATGTACTTTGAAATACCGATTTACAAACTAAATAGTTACAGAATTTAAATATCTTTAGAGTTTTAAAGGCAAGAGAAAAATCTTTCAATTTAGAAATTCATATTAAGAGGTTTACTAATTTCAAAGAAAAAAAAAATCTAAGTTTTCATGTTTTCTTTTATGCTGGATTTTTCTTTTTCTTTTTCTTAAAAGTATATGCCTTTGACAAATTCTATATACTTTGAATTTGCAGATATTTTATATTCTTTGCGAGAAAATAAAATAAAAAACAAAATTGACTTTGGACTTGGACATTGTGATTTAAAGTCTAAAGATAAATATTAGGGTATGTAGTAAGTTTTTTTCTTCTATTTATACACCAATCTAGCAATAATTAGTGGACTACTTTAGTAATAATACGGCTTAAAACCGTACTTAATCGTTATTACCACATATAATTATAGTATTTAAATAAACATTTATGACGAAATCTCATGAGTTCAAATACCTTTTGATCCGATTGGTACATAAACCGTTATCAGTTTGACATTGTAAATGCTGTCCTAAAGTTTCAATATTTCGCTTTAGCGCATTTTTAGTCCATCCGTTATTATGATGTAGATGTACTAGTTATTGAATTATAGAAGATCACGTCATGTCGTCGCGTGAGATTGAAATACGTGGTTTATCCCTATCATATTCTAAAACAATATCATGTTTTGTTATACTTGTTGTCAGTTGTCACTGAGGAAAATAAATGATTTGATTTCTTAATATAGTTTTGATACTAATACAAAATCCGGCAAGGTATCAAATGGAAAATATGCCTTTTTTAAAATTAATTTCCTTTATTAATGGGTGCGACTTTTTGTTATTGGATACGAAGATTCAAAGAAACTCAATGGGCCGAGCCCAAATTCAAAACACAAATTTGAATTAGTTAAAGAGATGAAAAACATAAGAATATGATTGAGAGAGAGAGAGAGAGAGAGAGAGAGAGAGAGAGAGAGAGTTAAAAAAAGGCTTGAATGTGTCAAAGTAGTGCCACTATCTAATTTTATCTACCACTGATAAATGATGTTGAAGAGATCCTTGTGAGAGACGAAGATGTGTGTGAGTGTGAGCTCGAAGCCCTATCAGACGATACGTATCCAACGAGTTTAGATCCTAAATCGGTTCTTGAAGAATCTGAATAACCCCAATTATCGTGAATCTCAGGAACACCCTCGTCTCTGTTTAGGTACCTAATCACCGTTCTCATCGGCGGCCGGGATTCCGGTTTATGGTGGCAACAGAGCAAGCCGACGGAGAGAGCAAGCCTCACCTCTCCTTCGTCGTAACCTGATCCAAGTCTCGGATCGATCGCACTGAGGATTTCACCGCTCGCTTGTAGCTCCATTACCCAATCGGCTATGAAGAAGGTCCCAGAGTCGGTAGGTTTTCTCCCGGTGACGATCTCTAACAGCAAAACGCCAAACGCGAAAACGTCGGAAGCGGCTGAGGAGTTTCCGTTGCGGGCTAGCTCCGGCGCCATATACCCAATCGTCCCGACGACAACGGTGGTTCGCGATTTCGATCCGCGTTCGTAAAGCCTCGCGAGTCCGAAATCTCCCAGTCTAGGGTTCATATCGGAGTCAATGAGAACGTTGCTAGGTTTCACGTCTCTGTGAATCACGATCTGTTCCCATTCTTCGTGGAGGTACAACAAGCCAGACGCGATTCCTTTTGCGATCTGAAAACGCGCTTTCCAAGATAAAACAGCGCCGCTCCTTCTCGGTTTAGTGTAGAGCAGAGAGTCCAAGCTTCCGTTTGGGATATAATCGTAAATCAACAAGAGATCGTTTTTGTGTTTACACCATCCTTGGAGATTCACCAGATTCCTATGTCTTAGCCGTCCCAAACTCTCGATCTCTGCGATGAATTCTCGAACACCTTGCATACTATTCGGAGTTATCTTCTTCACTGCGATTTGATCAGACGATGTTCTGATGTTCCCTCTGAAAACAGTTCCGAACCCTCCGGTTCCGACGATCCTGTTCTCCTTGAATCCATCTGTAGCCTTGTAGAGATCTCTGTATCGAAATCTGTGAGGATGGTCGATTTCCCAATCTTCTAGGATCTCTTCTTGTTGCATTCGCTTTTTGTACATCATGAAGAGTGACAACAAAACCATCATGATCGATATAACGGTCGATAAAGCCACGATCAGAGCGATGACCTTACCACTGTAGCCTCTCTTCTTGGCCTTATTCGGAGGCGGAGGAGGAAGCTCCGAGAGGTCGAGCACAGCTGCGACTGGGTGGTCTCCGCCGCTTGAGAAACTCCAACCCATCACATAATGAGCACTCGATTGATCTCTCCCCGTCGCTGCTGTGAACCCGACGAACATTTCGTCCTCCAAAATTTCTGACAGTCCTGGAACCTCTCGCGAGATCAAGGGAATTATTGGTTTATATCCCAATCTGGTTGGGTAAACAGTGAGGTTAAGCCTTTTGGTTGGCCCGTGATATTCCAAGACGACATGGATTGGCTCGCCGCTCGTCAGTTGGAATTCCTCTTTCTGACTATCGTTCTTGTTGTGATAAGCCACAGGTTCTTGGACATCTGAAGAGAGACTGTTGAAATTTAGACCTATGTGGTTCCCAATTCTGTTTTTGCCGTCTTTGAATCCTTGTACAGTGTCGAATTCCACAGCAAAGACGTGATTGCTCAGATTACCGTCGTTTCTTTCGTTTAGAAGCCCCAAGTACTGTGCGGATTCCGCATCTTTGCGGTCTGGAGTTGGAGATAGAGTGAATGTGAGGCCGAAACCTCCGTTGCTTGAGCTTGAAGGGATTATTACAAAGATGAAAGAAGTGCTAAAGGAGCGAACGGTGGCATTTGTGGAACTTTCGTTAGTCTCCAGCAATCTTACTGGTTTGTGGTAGAAAGCTGTACCGGTAACGTTTGACTTTCTATCCGTGAGCCTCAATAGTCCGTTGGGTCTAATGGTTGAATCTCCTTCCATCTGAATTTCTGATCGGTTTCCTTTAAAACCTCGGAAAATGAACTCTGTTGATGTCTTTGTCATCTGAGCTCGAACAAGAATCTTAAGGAAGAGCACCAACAAGAGTGAGACCATTGATTTTGCCTTGCCCATTAATGATCAAGAGAAGAGTAACCTCAAACAAATTGAGGTACTTAAGATGTAGAGGATGGTAAAAACAAAAATGAAACAAGAAGAGAGACAAGAGCTTTAAAAGAAGAAGACACCTAGTTTGGTATCTCTTACAGAATCGATGATCGAGATGAAGAAGTAAGGAGACGGAGAAAAAGAATTGTTTAGGACAATAACCTCCTAACTTGCAGGTTTTCGATAAAATAGTTAAAATGTCGTTTTAGGATGCTCTCAAATCATGGACTTGTATCTTTTATTAATGTCAGAAGAGGGCTGACTTTGACAAAGTCCAAATATACTTTGAATCTACTAATATGTTGTTATTATATTGGGTGTGAAAGAAAGAAGACGAAATAAGTCATTCGGACTTTGGAGATTGTGGGACTTGAACTAAAAAGAAGATCAAAAAAGATCTCGGGGATTACATCTCCAGCTTATTAGTAGTAAGACTGCAACGTAAACAACACTATATACTATACCAGTCAATTAGTGGTGTGTTTAATATGATACTATCTATTATATTATACTAAATCCTCACATGCAGTTACTGTATATGTATTCTTATTTTATACTAAAACTATTTCTCTTGAGACAGATCGAAACGAGTTCTCTATCGATCAGTCTTTCAATTGGTAAAAGGAAAAGTCGTCGTGATTTTGACTTAGGAAGTCGCAAGAACAAACGACGAGGCCTAGAAAAGATCAATTAGCTTCATTTAATTTGGTAAATAACTAGGGTAATAAGAAGCCCAATGGGCTGATACAACAACATGTGAAATTAATAATTGTTTCTTAAATTAATACATCGGTCCGTTCGTACTACAATTGGAAAATTAAAAACCAAATCGATAAATTCTTTTTTTCGGTTTTGTTTTTCCCTCTGCTTTTGAACTTTTGTCGGAGGGATTTTTGGAGGTTAGCGGATTGTTTGTCTTCCGATGTCGAATGTTATGGGAGATCAGTCGATGAATTTCGAAATGGCGATTTCATGGGGAGACGATTTGATCAATGTTTTGGATGATGGGAAAGGATTTGGCGTGCTTGTTCAAACCCTCGAGCAGCTCAGATCTATCCACTTCTCCTGCGACGACGATTTTAGTGAGATACAAGAGTCTCTCCAAGGTTAATTAATTCTTTTTTTACGTTTTTGAGTCTCTGATGCCACCTTGACAACACTGAGTGTTTGACTGAGTTGTCAATTTCGGATGTTGTTTCGTTGGCGCAGATTTGCAGAAGAAAGTCGATGCTTGCAAGGAGAATACTTACGAGGCATATTCAGAGATGGCCGATGAAGAAGAAATTGAGCGTCTTCAGAAAGAGCTTGATCAAGAGCTTGAACTGGAGTGCAAGCTCAAGGATGACCTCAGATAAGTATACTACTGAGCTTAAATTTCTCTTTCGTTGATTCAATGACATGACCCAATTTTGTTTTTATGTTAACACATCCATGGCTGATGAACTCAAAGACATGAATTCTCAAGGGGCATTCATTGAAGAGCAGATTTTAGCTATAAAGAGGAACCTGCGGGACCAGTTGAAAAATGAGTAAGATTGACTGAATTTGTCATGTCATTGTTAGGTTTAAGAAGTTTGTCATTTGCTTCTTTCTCTTTTTGTTCTCTGCAGGAAAAAGCTTTCCATGTATGCTTCAGTCACTAGAGTCATACCCAACATTGATGACCCATTAAAGACCTCTGGCTGTATCCTTTGCTTTTAAAATTTGCTCTTTACTCTGTGCACTGTCTTTATATGAACCTGATGCACCTTTTTTATGAGGTCCTTGACTGAATGTATGGCAGATATGGTTGATCGAGAAAAAAGGGTAATGGACAAGTTCGAATTCGATCCAGACAAGAGGACTGCCTACGAGACATGTAATGCCGTTTGGGATATTATAAACAGGCAATAGACAGCTTCTCCTCACTGCCTCCGCCACTTTATTATCTGAAACTTGTGTGTGATAACTATTAACTTTGCAAAGACTGATTGATGTCAGTCTCTTAACAACCAACCGCCTATGCCATGTAAAATTCTTCGTGTTCACTCTACTATGAACAATTTCTGCCTTTATCTGATGTTATGAATTTTTTCTTTTTGCTACTCCTTGTTGATTCTTATTGTGTTCATGTAACAGCATCATGGTTAATGAATATTTCTGTGCAGGCTTTACTATATCTTAGCTTCTATGTACTAGACCTTTAGCTTCCAAATCTTCAGAAACTGATCCAATTCCTGGATATTCAAAAATAGTGCATGGTAAATTTATCTATCTATGCAGATTGTTGCAACCCCAGTTAAGTTGTATAGCAAATTCAAGAGGAGCAGAGTTTTGATCAGTAAGCACTTTCTGATTTCCCATATATTTCAGTATTATTAAATTGTCTTAGGGATCTTGGATTCAAATCTTATTGATTGCGATAGCAAACTTGGTGACTGTTACTTAGTTTCTCCACTGAACTGTTGAACCTTCTTATTGTCTCCACCGAACTGTTGAGAATCTTGCAGGCTTCTGGTACCTGGTTACTTCCATAAGCATTGCATACATACATGACAAAATTCTGGTAATTCTGTTCACCAAAGACACATAAATGAAAACTTTTGTTTCTCCTTTGATATTGAAAGTTATCAGCTGAAAGTTCTGGTAGGACTAACCTCTTGAAGTGGTTGGTTATTCACAACCACCCATGGTACAAATCTGTGTGCTGGATAAAGTTCAGAAGTTTCTTCAGCATATCTCCTTTCAAGCTGCACAGTGTCACATAGATGTCATTTTTTCTTGCTTATTTCGTTCGCTTTTTTCGTTTTGGCTTTACAAGTTAACAAATGTACATTTCTCTGATCAGGATTTACCTGGTTTCCGTATCCGTTAATGTAACACTCAACCGCTGCTCTGCTCAATCCAACCATTTCTAAACAATCAGCCCATTTTTCAAGTTTATTCTCCAAGACTAGCTGTTCGGTACAGTAGATGTATCCAAAATGCTTCCTCTGCAAAAGAAATGTGCAGATCACATAGCATTCGTGTTAACAGCCAGCCCTTTATATGGATATTAACTTGAATCTTACTGCATAAAACCGAGAAGCTTTCATAGCTTAGAGGCTTACCACATCAGGGTAAGCGTTTATTGCACAGGCATGAATTGAATTGAGCGCACACTCAGTTTCTCCATGCTGAAAAGTGAAAACAAAGCAACACGAAACATTTGTCAAATGCTATGTCTTAAACTTATGTACAATGTAAGTGGAGTATAAGGCAAGAAGAGTCCAAGACCTGGCAGAGAATGGAGCCATCTGGTCTGATAACAGTGTTGCCCCATGGGACGAGCTGGAGATCAATGGCTGAGATTAAGCCAGTCTCGAAGATCTTTGGCAAGTGGTTGACGATGAATTCTGCACAGTAAGGGCATAAAGCTTCGTAGTATAGACTAAGTGTGACTTTTTGGCTTGAAGACAAAGATAAGAAGCAGCAGATGATTGTGATGCAGAACCTAAGAAGCCTCTGATATGATGCCATTGACGGAAAGAAGAAGAAGAGGAAGATAGCAGAGAATTGTTTTCGACTCTTGCTTTTATTCTTTAGACTCACTAAACAAGCAAAGCAGGACCCCGAAAAAATGGTTTTATTATGTGTTTCAAGGCCTCGTCAGCGTTTTGTTTGATTGCAAACGGCACGTTGTTCGTTTGCTAGATCTCTAAACAGCATGATGTTTTTAATAGCTGGGTCAGTCACACTTCGTCTTCCACACCTAATCCACCTGAACATACTGATCTTCTCTCTCAGCACATCAGCCAATAAAGCCCTGAACCCTAATTTTTCTTTTTGGCTTCGGCTGGCGAACGATAGTGTGTTCAGCAATGTCCTCGATGAACTTCAATCCATTTCAAAACTGGTTCGAGAAACCACCGAACCCAGTTCCTTCCATCAATTTCGTGTCGCTCGCTGACTCCTTCTTCCCCAAGTCGCAGTCTCCGAATTTCGCGTCGATAGGACTTCCTAAATTCTCCAAAAAGTCCCCAAAACCCGAAACAGGGACCGAAGAACCAGGAACGTACAAGCAAATCGCTGAGCAGTTCTTATGGGAGTGCGAGAACATACCGGATTACAGGCACACTCCGGAAGTGGATAAGATTCTGAACGAAGATTCAGTATTCGAGAAGAAGGAGAATCCGAGCACAGAAGAGATTGAAGCTGAGGAGAAATGGTGGGAGAGGTTTCGAGCGAGTCCTGTGGTTCAGTTTATGACTCGAGCCGAGGAGATTGCCGAAGATATGAACAAGATGGAGCTCGAGGATAACGACACGCCTTATCGGAAAGAAGACAAGGACTTCTGGAGAGCCATCCCTCATGTGCCGGGCTTCGACGGGAGGCCTATGCCTAGGAAGGCTATAAAATCTAAGGAAGAGAGTGATGATAAGTTTTGGGATTTCATGAAGCAGTTCCTCTTCGGCCTCTGGGGTTTCCGGCAACGTCCCTACCCGCCGGGTCGACCCATTGACGTGGCTCAGGCTATTGGTTACAAACGCCTTGAAAAGCGGTATTATGACTGTAAGTGCCTTCATCTTGATTCAAATAACAGAGTCATTATGACTGTAGTGTAATTATGACCCTGCCATGTGATGATGTTACAGTGCCTTTAAGGGAGAAAAAATTAGTGTTGATGAGCTTGTTTATCATGATTATTCATTGAGTGGCTCTGGTGTTTGCTCGAGTTCATATGGTTCCACATTTCGTTTGTTTATGTTCTGCTCCAATCCAAGCTTGTGCCTGTTGAGTGTTGTTGGATTGCAGGAATATGATGAAAGTGGTTTTCTTTTCCTGTTCTTTCGTTTATGTTTGATCATAACCGTTTGATTGCTCTCTGTGTTTTGAGATTGCAGTCATAATGAAGACTGGTGGTTGGTGGTATAAAGACCGACTTGGCCGTTCCAGAGGCCCTTGTGAGCTTATAACCCTTAAGACAGCTTATGGAGCTGGAATAATCGATAGAGATACTTTCATTTGGGGCGAGGACATGGATGAATGGGCGCCTATTCACATGATTTACGGTTTGGAACCTGCAATTGCCACTTGGGAAGGTCTGTATGTGGGAGAATTAGAGATCTCGGACAAGTCTTTTCGTTGAAGAATCACAGTTTTGCCTCCTATATTATGATTTCATTGTTGGTTTTATTAACTCGTTTCTTTCTTGTTCAGTGAGGCTTGGTGCAGCGGCAACAGCTTGCCTGCACAAACTCCAGAAGGGAATACCGCCATGGGTTCCTCTAAAAGGACGAGAGCCAAAAACATACAAGCAACTCCAAAAAGAAGCTATTGAGAGTAAGAAACGCGACATGGCAGTGCTCGAGGCAAATGATGGCGTTTGGCCTGGAGTCAGAACTCCCAGCCACGCTCTGTTTCTCTGGGCCAGTGGGTCTGAATTAACAACAGTACTGGAATCTGATCACATGCCGAACAAGTTCATCCCCAAACGATTAAGGTATTAAATTAAAGGCCCTTAACACCTTTGATTTTTTTAAAGCCAATATTGGATTTGGTTCTTCTCTCAAAGCATGGAACTTTTGATTGTAGACAAGAGTTGGCCAAAGTAATACCAGGGTTAAGGCCATGGGAAGTGATAAGTGTAGAGCAAGCTATGGATCAGATCAGCTATGGTGGAGAGTGGTACCGTGAGCCGCTTGGTACTTACACGACTGGTCCTCCTTACATAAGAGAGTGGAATAGGAGTGTCATGGTTTGTTTCCTCTCAGTTCTTCTGATTTCTCTGATCATGTTTTCGACTTGCATTGAGATGATAGTAAATTGATTTGATATTTTCTTCTCTGTTACTTATTTTTCATTTTGCATGCAGAGACTGTTCCGTATATTCTACAACCTCAGTGTTCGAGTAGGTCAGAAGCTGGAGAGGACAGTCCCAGGTTTCGACACTATAATGGACAAAGTTCAGAAAGATTATGACACTCGGATTGCTAGGAGGATGAAACGGAGAGAGGAGGAGTTGAGAGAAGAGGACCTGAGGCATTATTCCGGCCGTACCGATGAAGATGACTACGAGGAGGATGAGGAAGATGATGAAAGTGACTCGAAATGATTGAAGCAAAGCCTTCATCAGGTGATGACTACAAGCAAACATCATGTTGTTTAATATACTTCGCCAGCAACGGACATCGGTGTGAGTGGGATTTGTGTCTCCTTCTGGGTCTGTAACATGGCTTGTTTTCTACCTGTTTTAACCAGCTTCCGACATGGAAGAAAATGAAAGGAACCAGTTCTTTTTCTTTTCCGTTTTTCTAAATTCCAAAATTTAAAATTTTGAAAAAAAAATTAATAGGAAAACTGGATGGTTGGTCCGCTCCTTCGGCTTACATGGGCTGGGCTTATGCAATATTCTAATATGGGCTTTTTCGGCACATTAGATATCCTTTTAATGGGCTTTAGTTTGCGAGGCCTAGTTGTAAAATTTTGCGCATTTTACATAATCAACCCGGTTCGGCGAGTACAGAGAATGGTAAGTGTCGATGCTGGATAGGGCACCTTGGCGACAAATTGGGATTTGAGTTGTCCACTTCCGCCATAGCCACACTCCTCGAAGCTCAGTTGGCTAAAGTGTCGGTAATCAATTTCTCGATGACTATCTTCACAATTATGGTTAGTTTTTCTATCCGTCTCTTTCAGTTTCAACGTAGCTTGTCCAGTTTCAAGCACTTGTGGTTTCTATTTCTGTTTTCTGCTTAAATATGTAGCTGGAATCTGAGCTTAGCTTTTGTTGGTTAGGGAATTCAAAAATTCGTGCATTAATCTAGAAGATACTTGTTAGAATGCGTATCTCTCTAGATTAGATGCTACTATTCGGAATTATTTGATATTCCCTTAGCTTTTTGGTTAGACTGTGATAAAGGGGTCATACAGTAGAGAATCTTTCAAGCTTGCTTGGTTCCAGTGAGAGACACTTCTTCTATCGAAGATGTCGCGTCATAATTTTGGGTTATACTTGAAGGAAACACCTGAAGAAGCTCAATTTCTTCGTCACTATATAAATCAGATTCTCACTCTTTACTTAATACTTAGTGGTTTGAAGAACCTTGATGAAAAGATAAGTCATTAAGGGAGAATCTCTCCATGAAAGCTTAGTAGTGTTTTCATACGTAATGAACTTTTCATGGATACCCATTTTAGTACATGGTCAGCTCATTGTAGAACAGAGGAAAAATGTGTTTGTTTGGTTATAATAGATTTTCCAGTGTTTAAGATAGAATCAAAGTAAGGGCATCTCTTTTGCTTTAATGTGACCATGTCCTTGTTCTTGTTTGCTTTTTCAGTAATCCAAATGACCAGCTTGTCGTTCCCGGTGGAAAGTGACATACCCCTTCATGCTTCTGGTAAATGCTCTTCATTAACAGGTTTGTTATGCTTTCTCTTTCAAGTTGGGTTATGAATGTTTTCTGTTTAGTTGGATAGGTTTGAGTTCTTTCTACGTACCTGGTTAGTTTTCGTCATTTGGACATATCTATTTAGAAAAAAGTAAACAAAAACTTCATTGATTTGGCTTAGGAAGTTATTACAAACACCATCTTAAACACAAAGCTTACTACTACAATCTTATTGTCCATAACTTTCAATCTAAAGCTTTTAGAGAATCTTTGGGTTCTTCTGAGTAACCCCACAATGGACGTCTGAAAGTGAACTTATAGAGGTCGAGTCTAATTCAGAAGCATCTGGTCGAAATGCCAAACTCCTGCAAAGACAGAAAAGATTATAAGCTTTATAACAACTTAATTAAAGTCTTAGAAAACGATTTGAATATAGGGTTTTGATTTGTACCGTGGCCTTTGCCGACCATCCTTAGCTGAGTGATGTAGTCTGAGATCTTCTTGATTGCTTCAATCTAGAAAAAAAGTGATCGAGTCAAAACATGTTAGGAATTTTTCAAGTAACTAGATCTGGCTAGACCAAGAAAAAAAGAGCTTTTACCTGTTCTCCAAGAAATTCACTCTCAACAAAATCAGCTAACTGGGGATCATTGTTCTCTGAGGCCACCTGTTTTTGTTGGCCAAGAGTTAAGCTTATGAAAATGAGTATTAGTTTAATCTTTGATCACCAAAGAGATAAGTTATAGAACTTACTCTGTGAACGTTTAGAAGCTTCTCATTAGTGAGTTTCTCTAGAGAGAGAGCCAACTCCATTGCTGAAAAATAAATAAGTAAACTAATAAATATCTGCATCATTTTTCCTTTGCCAAAAAGAAGTAATTTTAGGTGTGTGTGTGTTTTTGGTATAGAGTTTACCGTATAATGCATCTCCTTTTTCAGCGTGTTCGAATTCTGAAAGAGGTGAGACGATTGGGTGGAGTTTCACTCTTCCTCCTCTTTGGTTCTGTATACACAAAGACACAAACCAGCAATAGAAAGTTAACTAACTTAACTCTCTTTATAAACTTGTAAAAGTTTTAGCTTTAAAAAATAGAAAACCTGGTACTCCATAAACTTCTCAGCATGTCCTCTCTCTTCCTCACTTGATTCCTTGAAAAATCTGGTGGTAATCATAAAACCAAGTTGAACATGGATACATGTCTTTAAAGTAGATATAGATGAGATAAGACAAAAAGTTAGAAGGTAAAATTACTTGGCTAGTCCCTTAAGAGCAACGTTGTCTCTGTCGAAGTATGCGTACATGGAATGGTAGACGTAGGAGACGTTGTATTCCACACTGCAACGATGGACCTCCGTTAGATCTATATATATATATATATATTATTTTTGACATTTTCCTTCTTTTTTTTTGTTTAAAACAGAAAATAAAAAGAAGCTTACTTGATTTGCTCATTAATGGCAGCCTCGCTAGTATCGGCATAGCCCTGGCGAGCGAGGGAGACATGAGATGTGATGGGGATGGCGAGATCGGCCTTCTTCACCTCCTCGAACGGCTGGAAGACGACTCCGGTCATAGGCATGTTGTTTGTGTCAACCGTAGCGGCGGAGAGGACCAGTGATCTGCCGCCGCCAGTATTCATGGAGAATCCGAGAGAAGCAGAAGCAGGGCAGTGAGGGAGTAGTGGCTTGGGAGAGAGAGCGGGCTTAGTGGTGAAAGAAGAGAGTGCCCTTGAGGCCATTGTTATGGGAGGAGATAGACTAGGGTTGATGAGGCGAGACGGCTGAAGAGAGTTGGTATTTGGTTGTTGCTAGATGAAGGATGAAGGATGATAAGAAGAGGAAGGAGGGTTTAAATAAGAGGGAAATGGCGTGTGGTCGCCGTTGGATAGGGGAACACGTGGAGGGTGGAGATAAGGCCAGATGTAGGGGCGTGTGGCGGCCTCGTGCTCCATCCAATGAGATAGTGTGAACGTGAGGATATTCGATCCACGTTACCATCTCAATATCGACTTTTGTCTCCTTCCCCTCTCTCTCTCTTTATCCTCCGAATCTTTTTTATTTTACTATTATCCGTTTCCTACTCTCGCGTTTCCGCTCTTCTTATCTCTACTCGCTCTCTCTCCTATTTCTCCCCTAATATATTTGTTGTTCGATGAGTAAAACATTCAATTTGTTGACTCAAAAAAAAGAAGAAGATGATAACGTTTACAACATAAGTTGGACGTGTAAAAGTCTGTGAGACGCGTATTGTAGGAAATAGGATAGGGATCATCTGAGTATTTTGCATTTTTTTTTTCCTGATTAAAAGATTTAGAATATGTATATATAAAATTTAAATATGTTTTTGTTTGCAAAATACTAAGCTACTAGACACATAAATTGAATGGTTCAAAACCCTTTTAAGACTTTTTTTTAATATATATAGTATTTGTGTGGCCTTAATATGCATAGGAAAAATATAACTTTTACAGAAAAAACGAAACATGCGTGGATCTCTTTGAGTTTATAGGAGATTTGATGGAGACGTAAATAAACTCATACATATCGATAGAGAGTCTCTAGGGGAGGGAGGTGTAACTTCGTGAAAGCGCGTGTGATGTTTCAAAATGGGTCCTTGTGTTTGTCCGGAGACAATTACACGTCAGAATAAGTACCAATGTAGGGTCTCTCTCTCTCTCTCTTTAGCTAGTAGCCTAGTACTAATGTCACGGCTCACAAAATAAAATATCACAAAATTATTATTTAAAGCTTTAATAATGTTGGCAAGAACAAAAAAAAAAAAAAAAAAATGAAAAACAAAAAGCTTTAATATAAGTTGGAGTTAGGCTTGGTTTTATTTTCTTGGCTTGATTTGATCCGACTCTGGAATGCACAAAGATATATATAAAAAGTAGGTCATAAATTCACCACCATATCATCTCTACTTGTTTTTGTTTTGCTCTGTTCATGTGGGCATGTGGTTGGTTGTTCAGGTTCAGGTTCAGGTTCTAACCAAGTTGGGGTGTAGTACTAGTAACCAGTTTTTCATCATAATTCCAGCTTTCAATGACGGTCTGTCTTTATAGAGAGAGTTCCCAAGTTAGTGATAGGCAAGTACTTTTTTTTGTTGTTGGATAAATGTTTTTGTGATTACCACGTGTCATATGTTTATTGGCTTGAAAGAATAGTGCATAACGAATCCAACGTTGCGGTGGGAGAGTTGGATTCCAAAATTAACAAGTCTTTCGTTTGTATTTCTTTGGGTAAATTCTTCTTCTTGTTCGTCTGGGGGACTTTGTGATTTGATTTGGAGAAGAATGGATCAGATCTTCAACAAGGTTGGATCCTACTGGTTAGGCCAAAAGGCCAACAAGCAGTTTGACACCGTTGGCAACGATCTCAACGTACGCACCATCTCTCAACATCTTCTTCTTCTTCTTCTCTTGCCATCCCTATTCTCTACAGTCTGATTTTCTTTTATTTTCTGCCGTGGTTCCTATATAGTTGTTGCGTCTTTATTCCAATATAATGATGCACCTTTTATCGTCTTTTTGGTATCATACATTTTTGAGGTCCTTTCGTCGGTGAAATCACGCCACCTAAGGAAGAACATCTATTATCCAAAACGATGATATCCTTAGAAACTTCATCAATATTCAAAAATTGCTTCAATGATGTTTTTTTTTTTTTCATGTGGTTTCCATTGTTCTATTATTAGATAATCTTGTATAGATGATGATCATGTATATTCTTTATTAACATGTTAGTCGGTGTCAACGAGCATCGAAGGAGGAACGAAATGGTTGGTCAACAAAATCAAAGGTTTTGCATCAGTTCTGTCTTGTGAATAGTCTTTTATCACAACAGCGTCTTTTGACATTCCATTTCATTCCCCCACTGTTTGTCATGTCAGGGAAAATGCAGAAGCCGTTGCCTGAGTTACTAAAAGAGTATGATCTCCCCGTTGGAATATTCCCAGAGGATGCTACGAACTATGAGTTCGATGAGCAGACCAAGAGACTAACTGTTTTGATCCCAACCATATGTGAAGTTGGCTACAAGGATTCATCCGTCTTGAAATTCGCTACAACGGTGACAGGGTGCCTTGAGAAAAGCAAGTTATCAGACGTGGAAGGAATCAAGACCAAAGTTATGATATGGGTTAAAGTCACAAGCATCTCTGCTGATGCATCAAAGGTCTATTTCACTGCTGGGATGAAGAAGAGCCGGAGCCGAGATGCTTACGAGGTTCTAAGAAATGGCCTCCGAGTCGATAAATTCTAACTTAACTCCATGAACACTCCTCTTTATCGAACCCATTCTTGTCTTCCCAAAGTTTCAAGCTTTATTCTTATTTACTGTGAGTGTCCAAATGCATTAAACTAATTCATGATTGTGATGGAACTGAGGAAGATGATAACTTTCACATTTCTTTCGGTTAACTTTAGGCCATGGAATCCCACTTTTGCTTTTGCATCAAATATTATTGATCCGATCTTTGTATTCTCTCAATTGTAACAAATGTACTATTATTCTGTCATTGTCTCTCAATTTGGATATGTATTGGTCTTAACTTTGTTTGATGGGAGAGTATATACCAAAAACAAAGCATGAGATGAGATGATAAGCATTTTGTTGAGTTAAAGAGGAGGGATTCGAAAGAGGCGATATATATAAGTAGTATTGTATTTATAGCTAATAGGAATTGGCCATATAAGTAGTATTGTATTTATAGCTAATAGGAATTGGCGATGACAATAAATAAGCCTAAAATCTGAAACATGATTACACTTTTGAGCTTGTGATAGCAATTTACTAAGACCATCCTCTATGCATGAGTTTTTACATAAACTCACAAATTGCAAAGTGAAGCGCGTTGATCTCACATCCCATAAGAATGCTTCAATTTTTATTATTTTCATTTGTGCAAAAAAACTGAAGACAGCTCTTATTAAGGATGATGATGGTGGGATCTGGTAAATAACGTCAAAAAACCAATTTGGTAATATAATAATAAACATCAAATTGAATTAATCTATGTGCTGAGAGAGAGAGAAAGAGAGAGGAGGATCGAATGGTAGCTCCTCCAAGCTTATACTAGTCGCATCGAAGCTGAAGCGAGCTTTGGAGAAGAACAAGTTGACGACTTTATTCCTACTCTCAGTGACTCTGCGGGTGCTTGGTGACAAGTATCTTCTCTCTTGAAAGTCTCCGATGTCGCAGAGATGGAGCAGCAGAAAGAAGAGTCGGCTTCCGTTGGCGGGTCTTCTCTTTATGCTCGTTGTCACCATTATGATCCTCTTCAACGAGCGTAGCATTCAGCAGATCCACTACCACGCCTCGACGACTCACACTCAAATTCTCCGTCAACCTTCCTCTTTCACTTTCGTCAAGCCTAATGTTCCTGCGATTAACTTGGGAGCTCTTGGTACTGTTCCTTCTGATCTGATGAAATCTCGTTGCTACTTGTATCCCATGTAATTCCCAATTTGCTCAGCTTTATTGTGCCCTTGTATAACATCAACTTACACAAATTGAACAAAAAATTAAATGCAGAGGTTTTGGATAGATTCAGCAGATGCAACTCCACGAAAGATTACAGTGGGAAGAACATCAGATTGGTTGACCCGTATGAACAAGACTCGGGTCAAGGACCAAAGGAGGAGCACTGTGATGTCTTCTCTGGGAAATGGGTCTTTGATAATTCATCATACCCTTTGCACAAGGAATCTGAGTGCCCTTACATGTCTGACCAGTTGGCTTGTCAGAAGCATGGCAGGAAGGATTTGGAATATCAACATTGGAGATGGCAACCTCATGCCTGCAACTTGAAGAGGTTGCTAAATCTTACTACTTCGCTCCTTTTTTTTTTTTTTATGTTTTTGGTATCATTTTCTATAAGAGTTATGTTTCTGTGGATTTTGTGATTTGATCAAATGAAGAATGGAGTATGTATCGATGAATAGCTTGTTATTAATTTGAGTGCTACTATCGTTTGCAAAGAATGGTAGAAGATATTGAAACTGATGATCTGCTTCACTGCTTGCTAATTGTTTGTGTTCTACCCTGTGGTTTCCACATTATCTTGTAGATGGAATGTGACAGAAATGTGGGAGAAGCTTAGAGGAAAGAGATTGATGTTTGTTGGAGACTCATTAAACAGAGGCCAATGGATATCAATGGTTTGTCTGTTACAGTCTGTTATTCCACGTGACAAGCAGTCTATGTCTCCCAACGCTCACCTCACCATTTTCAGGGCAGAGGTAATAAAAGACATGTGAGCATAGCTTGTATGCCTCTTTGTTCGAGGGGTTTTGGTGTGATTGGTTTACTTTTGTGAATGTATCCACAGAACTACAATGCCACGGTGGAGTTTCTCTGGGCTCCATTGCTCGTGGAATCAAATTCTGATGACCCGGTTAATCACAGATTGGACGAAAGGATTATCCGACCTGATTCAGTTCTGAAACATGCATCAAAGTGGCAACATGCTGATATCTTAGTCTTCAACACATACTTATGGTGGAGGCAAGACCCAGTCAAGATCCGGTAAGTATATATATATATATAGACATCATTTCTTTACCTGTTAATGCCGCAAAAACAAAATTTGGGGACTCAATTGCATATTTGAATTAAAGATGGAGCAGTGAAGAAAAAGGGTCATGCGAGGAGGTGAAGGGTGCCGAGGGAATGGAGATGGCAATGAATTCTTGGGCTGATTGGATTGCTAATAATGTCGATCCAAACAAAAAGCGGGTTTTCTTTGTCACAATGTCTCCTACGCATCAATGGTAACAAAATACATATCCCCAATATGATTGATTCTACTTGTTTGTTCCATATTTGAACCGAGCTGTTGGAACTGGTCAGGAGCCGAGAATGGAACCCGGGAAGCGAAGGAAACTGCTACGGGGAGAAGAAACCAATAGAGGAAGAGAGTTACTGGGGAAGTGGGTCAGACATTCCGACAATGAGGATGGTGAAGAGGGTTTTGGAGAGACTGGGACCGAAGGTTTCAGTTATAAACATCACTCAGTTGTCTGAGTATCGTAAAGATGGTCATCCGTCGGTGTACCGGAAATTCTGGGAACCTCTAAACAAAGACCGGTTGAATAAACCGGCATCGTATTCAGATTGTACTCATTGGTGTGTACCCGGAGTTCCTGATGTCTGGAATCAATTGCTTTTCCAGTTTTTGTGAAAAATTTATATGAATGAAAGTTTTTTTTGTCAAAATTTGTTTGATGTGATTCTCTGTATTTGATGGAGCTTTTTTTTTATATATCTCCGGTGCAATTTTAGATGTAGGCAGTTCAGTGCTAACGCAAAAATGATCATAATGTTCAACCACGGATACAAAAATTACTTTACATATCATTCCTTTTCCATAAAAATACGATCAGATAACCGGATCTAACTTTTCCCTACACTTGATACTACTACGTAAAGAAGATTCGTTTATTTGTACCAAAATTATGAAGCAAAGTGGTTATAATAGCTACATCCAGCAACCAGCAAGGTTAGACAACTTAGGACTTATTAACAAAATTTAAGAAGATAGATAAATAATTCACCTTCAGCATGATGGTGAATTACAAGCACCGATTATAAATAGGACTCTTCGCCGAAGTTCATGGATGACCTGAAATAGAGCAACAAAACAAGTTGGTTTAGAATATATAATAACGCAAACCCCAATAAATGTCCATTCTTTTTTAACAGAACAATTATAGAAAGAAAGAGGAAATTGAAGAGAACGAACAGAGTTGGAAGAAGAGCGCTTAGCCCATGTTTGGATATGGGCACTGCTACTTTTTAGGTGAGAAGAGTAAGCAGCTTCTGCGTTTATGAAGTAGACCGAGTTCTCTGTTGCCTCACCTACCCACATTTCGTTTTTCGCATCTTTTGCTCTTTTTATTAGATTGCAGAATCCAACCTGCCAGAAGTTAAGACCCACACAACATTTTTCAAAGGTTAAGATTTCTTGGTGCCTCTCTCTCCGTGTAATACTAGACAAAGATTAAAATTTGTACATACCACGGATCCAACCAAATTATGGCTGATGTGGGGAACAGAGATATCATCCATTGGGTTGCTGAAGCTTATAGCAAGAAGTTTGTGTGAGATTTCCCCTGAATGTTCGGTGGATCCATCTGTCACAAACACCCACTGCTTCTTTTGTTGAACATCTGTGTATGCATCTCCAACATATACAACGTACGCAGCGATATCAAATTCACTGAACGACATAATTAGAGATGTTAGGGTATAAATTAGCAAAGTAAGTGTGAAAAAAAAGTGTTTATCAAAAGCTTGGATTGAGAATAAACCTTGAAAGAGGAATTTCACCAAGATTTGACAAAGACATTGGTTTACGAGGGTTGAAAAAGGGCCTGAAACACAGGGAAATTAAACAAATTAATGAGATTGATTTCAGTGTCTCTACAAAAGAAAGTCCACAAAACAACTTACTGAAAACTTTCAGAAGCTTTTGGAGACAAAGGCTGCCATCTTGAGCTAGACCCTCTGGCATGCAAGTAAAGTGTTTCTGAACCTGAGTTCATTGGTACTAGCCCTTTCATTATGTATATTTTTCCCTCTGTCAGCTCGGTTCTCTGTCACAGTAGTAGACAATGATAAACTGTTTTATGAATTTCTACAAGGAAAAGGTTGCTCAAGCTAATCAATGACGCTCATAATGCAACAGTACAATGATGATAATTATTTTCTGGTATGAACATCAGTCTACAGCAACTCCGAAAAGCTTATATTTAAACTCCCAGTTCGGTCTCATATGGACAGGGTTCATGTAAAATCATAAGCCATTTGGAAAAGTGCCTTCCTTTAAATTGTGCATGAAAAATGCAGATTTAGGCATTTGAATATACCTGTCTCTCCGTGGGATTCCAGATTGTTACTATACCTTCTTTAGGATTGTGCTCTCCTTCATAACTTAAGCTAGTCAGTCCAACAAGTCTAATCCTCATGAATGGGGTGACGTTCCTTTCACCTAAGCCTGCGTCTTCCAGAGCTTTTGCCACTGATTTTTCCATTTTCATTTGCTTGGCTGCCTGAGGTTCAGAGTGAAGCAGTTAATTAGAGTAATTGATCTATGAAAAAAAAACAATTAATATTCTACCTCGTATTTTGCTTTATATGTTGTGTAAGATGTCAACTGTTCTGGGCTCATTTCTGCCATTAGGAGTTCAGGTTCAGCAGCTGTCTCTAACAAGTTAAAGACCTTGGCTCCTTCTTCGCTGTCAGTGTCGTTCTGGCTGTGAACACCATTAATTCCTCTCTGATACTCACACACAAGACCCTCAACAAGAGCTGAGCGCCTAAGGCAAACAGGAAAAAAGGTAGGTAAGAATGAGAATAAACTACAAGGAACTGCAATCTTTGAATCGTCCGTTGGCAAAACCATCCTAATTCAGAAGGCCAGAAGATTTCCTATTATATACGAAGATTGTCTGTCTGTCCCAAAAGCCACTTAGAAACATAATATTGTTGAATGTAACAAAAATCACGACACTTCTTAGACAAGAGATGCATGTGCTAAATTCATCACATAAATGTTACTAAAGAATTCTCTCTACAGTTGTGATGGAAACACGGTAACTGGCAAACTTGCCTCTGATGATGCAGCTGGATAATTCTACTTTCCGTTCTCTCTGATCGAACTATTGACTTCTTTTCACCTAATCTGCATATGCAAGAAAATATAAGTCTACCAAAGCATAGAGGAGACTGGAGGCCAAGTTGCATTAACAGGCACACATTTATATTGACCTTTCCTTGTATAATATGGGGTATATTCGTGTGATTCCAGCTAGCGTTTTAGGCACTGGACCCCCATTGCACTTGATACAGTTGAAAGCCAGGGGGACACCAACTTCTTTACCTTGAAGAAGAGATCAAAAGACAATCGATATAAAAAAAAAAACAATATGAAAACACACAACCACTATGAAATAAGCAACTTAGAGGACGTGGTAACTTTTAAAGCAACTTACAGAATCCTAGTCGGTCTGCCCAGTGAGCTCTGTATGTCCCATTAATATTCAACAACAAACAGATTGTACTTGAAGTTACCGCCTGAAATTTGGGTTAAATGAAACTATGAAAAAAACAACAAAGGAAGGTTTCAGAAAATCGCATAGAATTCAACGCCTAAGAAACCTCAAGAGGTGAGGTTGGCGTAGCCCAGCCAGAAAGTCCTGCCCCGAGGATCTTCAGATAAGAGATAAGAACGTAAGCAGCTGTAAGTCAGTGATCTAACCAAAAATATGTATTGCAAAACAAAATAGCTAAACCCTGCAAGAAAATAACTTACTCGAAGCTTCTGCCCAACAAACAATTTTCCAGCATTCAGCTGCTTTGTTAGCACTACATCCAGAGCAGCATTCATCGAGTACCTGTGATTTAAAAAAATAAAATCCTGAGGAAAGGAGACAAGAAAACAGGTAACAAAACAACGATAGCAATTTCATACCACCCATCAGTGAGTTCTACTTTCACATTGCTGCAACTATCAGAACCATGTGTGTTCTGAGAATCATTGTTGGTATTTGGATTAATAGCTGATATGCAGAGCACCATCATTGATGAAGCTGGAGCATCACCACTTAGAATTCTCTTGATTGCAGAGTAATGACCATGATTGACCTCTCTCTCATATCTATGTTGGTAGATGAACCATGTTAGACTTTTCACGAGCTTAAATAACAACGAGAATGTGTTGTGAGACTGGGAAACCTGTATTTTAGTTCCTCAAGTACATTGGTGACTGTCAGAAAATTTCCTCTGCATTTGGCTGGATAGTATATCTCGTAGCATGCAAGCTTCCAGACTATCCACCTGTAGTGATTAGTGACCCACCTAGAGCATATATAGTGATAGATAGTTAATAGACATAGGATTATTGCTCACTGTCTATCTTATAAGTGAGAATAAGCTGATAACATGGGTAACTAGAAACATTTTAAGAGACAGAAATTACTTTCTCGATGCATGTTGTGTGGAAGCACCAGACTGAGCCAACAATTGAAGAAACGTTTCAGCTCCAACCATGTTCGAGGAAGACTCATCAGGGAATACATATTTATCTGCATTACTTGATTTGATTCTTCTGACATGGTCTGGCACATAATCCATCTGAATTCACATCGAAGTGTGTTTCAGTGAATTTAAAACAAAAATGTATATATAAACTCAGGAACATGTGAAAGAGACAAAAGATTTACCTTGGTCGTAGCTGTTGGATGCATTCCAAAATAATCCTTGATATATACTCTTGGAGACCTTTCTGGATATCTTGTCGAAAGCACCTTTTTGGAATTAAGTGTATTAGAAGATACGACAGATAAACCTGACAATAGACAGGACACACAAGAAAAATAGAAATCTGAGAGCCAGCCAAATAATTTAAAATAAAATTTTGTAAAACAAAAAAAAACAAATCATATACATATTCCTGAATATTTTACCACTTGAAGCATGCAGATCATTTTTCTTTAAAGGAGTTTTAAAGGAGGAAATTCGAGGCCTTTTAAAAGGAGAAGCGGAGACTGTCTTTCCCAGCCTTTTCTTTTGAGTACTGTCTTGTTTATTGTTTGCATAAGCTATATCACTGCGATTTGTTATATCGGCAAGTGGCTGGTCAACTGGCCTTCCAAACTGCTTAGCTCTTGGATTCAAACCATTTTCCTTGAAATTATTCACTGCCATATCTGATGATGAAGGCCTGTTATCTGACAATCCATGTGTAGCGAGTCCTGTGATCTTCAGAGTACAGTCTGTCTCATCAACAGCCGCATCAAATTTCTTGATCAAATTACCCCCTAAAGCTAAGTTCTCCAATTTGACTGATCTAAACTGCTTTGAAGATGACCGCAGAGGAGATACAAAACTGTTTGACGTATGTTTGTTGCTTGTCTTTTCTTCATGAGCAGTATAAACTGTATTGGCGCTTCCATTGTTTATAATAATATCACCTAACTTTCCATCTTTCTGTGGTGTCACAAACTGGTCACCTGCCTCTACATTATCAAAGAAAGTCCCTAACTCAGGGTCTCCAAGAAGATTTCTGGCACGTGTCAATGCCTCAGCTGACACTGACAATGATTTTCCATCAGCCGTCTGAAACTTTGTTGAAGCCTTTAAAGATGGATTTAGGATTTCAGATCTCTTCCCTGATACATGATCCCCAAATTTTCCTGGAGTTCTTGAATGATGCTGAGCCGCTAGAGCATCAAACTCCTCATTTGTTTTCAACCCAGATGACCCATGTTGCTGGTGTGAAGAAGACGACTGGCTCACGTGCATAAATTCATTCAAGTCATCTTCTTCTAGTCCTAACAATGCCTTGGCTCTTGCCAGACCCGCAGAAGATACATTCACCTTCTTGTTAGAAGCTGTCTGAAAAAACGAGTTGGGAACACCAAACCCACTCTCCCTGGGAAGAACATTGGCTGCACAACCAAATAGAAGCTTATTAATAAATCAACTGTAGTGCCATTTTTAGTAGTCATTTCCTTAACAAGTAAGATGGTTTGTGGATTAATTGTTCATTATAAGATGATAACAAGCGAGCTAAAGAGACTGTGTTCAGCTTTGAGATCACAAAACACAAAAAATAAGTAAACTGGAAGTTGAATGGAATAGGACGATAAAAAAAGTTGATATATAAATGTGCACGCAACCGTGCTGAAAACAGGACTTTAGAGAAGAGGAGATAACAAGACACCTGAGTCAATCAATTTATCACCACCGAGCATAGACAAAGCTTTGGCAATTGAAGACTCTTTCAGTGGGACAGATCTGCCTAAGGCCGTCGTGAACATTGGAAAAGTTCCAGCAGTATCCACTTGTCTCATTTGGGGATTTGAGCTTTTTGTGTTCTGCAAATCTAAAGTGTAGCCAAGAACAGGAAACATTCAAAAGAAGTTCCTAAACTCATATCACTAACATTCTGTAATTATGAACGAAAAATAAGAAACAACAAGTGCACCTGAATCACATCCAAAACAAAAGATGTAGAATATCATAGATCAATTTTTGAGTATTGCAGCAGCCATTGAAAAATTCCCTCAAAAGGTCTAGGGAATTCAAAACCACGTTTTCCGGAATCTAGTGTAAAAATAACGTACCTGGAAAGGCAACCTTGTCATCTGCTAGAATGGATTTGGCTCTAGCAATCGAAGACTCTTTTAGAGATACAGACTTCCCCAGCCCAGTCCTGAACATTGGGATTTCCGCAGGCATGGATTCCTCCCGCTCTATAAGCTTCGAGCCTCCTTTGGAGCATCAAACAATAATTTTATCTCCACACGCGTCATATGAGAATAGTCAAAAGGAAAAAAAATAAAAATTAGAAGGAAGATATGAAGAATCACCTTGAAGCAATAGATCAGCCATGGAAGATAAGGGAGCTGTGGATTCGAGCGCCTTGGTTGGAGTAGACTCAGAGTCGGACTGAAGAATCCGGCCAGCGACTTCCCACCGGAAACCATCGCCGCTGGAATCGGAAAATAACTGCCACGTCGACATTTCTTCAGTTCTAGGGTTTCGAAAATTCCAGATTCGTTATATGAGTCAGTCGAATCGAAGAATGAAACTTGGTGATTTCAGAATTTCCTCTAGCTACCAGAATACCAACCACGCCATAAGAGCCTCAGGGAAGAGTGCGGAAATTTTATTTTCTAATTTTATTTTTTTTTGCCCCAAAACGCCACCTTTTACCAAAAACAAAAAAAGATCTGAGGGAGGCGGGAAAGTTGAAAATTATATGGGCCGAAAATAAAATATCAGTCGCGCGGTTTTAACTTTGGGCCTGGTTTTAAGTTGGACATTATTCAAAAGATTTGTATATTCAATGAAATTAAATTACATTGCAACAATTGGCGAAGAAATCAAGCACAGAGAATTCACATCAACAACAATCTCCACCGTGTAAATTTCTATAAAAATAACACAACTGCCAAATTCTGAGATCGGTAATATTATTAGACGGGTGGAGGGGCTGAGGAGGCGGAGGGTGCTACGGACGCGGTCGTGGGGACACCGATGAACGAGAGGAATCCGACGGCGGCAGGATCTTGCTCGTCAAGAAAGAGATCATCGGGAGCTCTAAAGGCCCCATGGACGCAGACAGTTGCTATTCCGATCATGAGAGCAGATATCAGTACAGATCCAACGCTGGTGAAGAAGATCACGGCGATTGTGGACAGGATCAGGCCGGCGAGAGTTTCGTATTCGGAGAAAGATCGTCCGAAGAGGATAAGAGGACGATCGGATGGACGGAAGAGGTAGAGGAAGAGCCAAGAAGCGGCGAGGCATAGGAGGAGGACTAGAGAGAATGGTTGGGCGACAAGAGAGAATCCGAGGATCAGAGCGACGATGCAGACGTAATTTACCCTGAAATACGCGGAGTTCTTCCGAAATCGCGTCGCTGCCTCGGCGAGAGATTCAGGCTTGGTAAAGGCGGATCGATCGAGGAGCTCTGACCATGGACGGCTACGAGATAGACCACCACGGACCGTTTCGGTTACGCCGTTGACGAAGGCACGGACGGCTGGAGGTTGCGATTCCACTACAGCGGTAACGATCGGTGGCTGAGTGGTGGTGGCCGTCGCGGCGGTGGTGGAAACCGGAAGTACATGGGAATCTGTCGACACCATTCGATTATGTTTTCTTAAAGGGATTTCGAGATCAAAGAGTTCCAGATTAGGAATGGGGCGATCGGTGAAGTTACAGATGGGGAGACCTACAGCGCCTAGTGTTGTTGTGTATTTATAGGTTTACAATTACGCGTCTTTAACTTTGGTTTTCTATTACTTCACCTATTACAATTCCATTTTTAAAATTAAACGTAACAATTTTGCTGTATTAGTATATTTTAGTTTACACAATATTCTATGTATTTCGTCTTCATTACTTAGGCAAAGTGCATTTGACCAATAATGTTCCCGTGAGAGGAAGCTTCCTTCATAAAATGTCAAACAATGTTACTCCGTCATAGTAGAAGTAGAAGAGACCTGACAATGTTATCAAATGTCTAAAATCCAATTCACTCTCACCAGGAAAGAAAAACACTGTGTTACACTCCAGTTTTTCTATTTGGGCTACGAACTTCCACATATAAACATATAACGAGGGTAGAAAAGATAAGCTCATTAACCCTTTTTTACTCTAATACTAACTTGTAGCATCATAAAACATAAATCTTATTTCTTAATGCAACTCCTCCAAACGTTAGATATGATTACAGCGGGAAATAGTTCAAGAGTTACTTGATCGATGGGACTAGATCATAGAAGCTAGAATACGTTCATACATTGCAAGACAATCACATTAATCTCTCACCTGCCACGGAATTAGAGAGTTCCCCCGTTCCAACCAAAGAAGGATCCCTGCAAGTAGAACCAGAAGAGGAAATAATTGTAGATTCGATACATCAGGAAGGTTATAGGCATAAACACTCCACATGATGATCTACCTAACCCGTTCTATTTAGACAAGTAGAACCTCGTATATAACTCAAAACAAACAATAGTGTGGGTATTTAGAGTTGTGGAAACGGTTTCTGCAACTGATCTAATTGTTTATTTTGCCTAGTTTAAGAGTAAAAGTTATAGGTCTTGTCTTATGATGAACTTACACAAAAGATGTATTTGTTCCCTATTCATGACCTAGTAGTGCTGGTGTAAAGCGTGTAAACACTGTGCATATTCTTGACTTTGATGGGCCTAGAGAGACAACGAACAATGAAAATGAGACATGGACGCCTGAACTCATCACATCACATTTGATTATGTAATGTTACTCGCACTCAAACAAGTTTTCAGGGAAAGAATTGCTTGCCTTGGTGTCATAAAACTTGAGGAAGAATCGAGACTTGGGCACTGATAACTTGGTCTCGAGAATGGCGGAAACAGCAGCGCTTAGCTTCTTGTTAACATCAGCATTAAGACCACCAATAGAGACCAATTCACCATATGCTGCAGGATCTTCTGTCCCACCAAAAGCCATAGGGACTGAGCCTTTCAACACTATCATCACATACTGCAAATTACAGCAACAAAAAACAGTGTGCAGTTAAATAATGGTCTACCAAACAACTTTACAGGAGAAATATATTTAAACATCACTAACATAAACCAAACAATCTTCAAACAAAATTGAGCAATGAGAAATACTACAAGGGGTCAGGAATGGCCTAGCAATTGTGGCAAAAAAAAAAAAAATACAAAGACGAACCCCACACACATCCAGTTGAATACTATTGCAATCGACTTGGCCAATTAACAGGCCTGTTACATCTTTTTAAGCTTAGCTTGATGATATCCAGAAGAACACCGCGACTGTACAAACAAGTCGAATCATAAAACAAACAAGAACGGGCACAGATCGTAAACTAACGTTACTTAGGGTTTCAATATCCCTGCATGTGAAGAAAACAAAACACTCGAAAAATCTCTGTAAGAGATCAGCTCGCACACAAGGATAATCTCAGGAGAGAAAATGAAGAATGAAAACAAAATTCGAACAACGATGGAGCAGAACGAAACGAATTAAAGAGTTCAAATCGAGAGAGAAAAAGACAGATTACGTTCTCAGGCTTGCCGATGATTTTGGCGACGGTGGAGGAAGCTTCCGAGAGAATGGAGGATGTATCGACGCCGTCGAGGCTGACGTTGGTGGAGAGGTTGAGGCACGGCATTCTTCTTCTTCTTCTTCTTCTTCTCTATCACTCGATGCCAATTTCTTTTCTTTTTTAGTTAAGCGGATAAAGAAGTGAAAGAACACTGTGGAATTTCCCTTTTTATCCCTTCAGGTTGTTAAGCCTTTATTTTATTATTCGCTTCGGCCCAAGTCCATCGTTGCTTCCTCGTCTCGTCAGATTGTTTTAAAACGCAGTTTCTTATTTTATTCTTTTCCGTTATACGTTGCGTTTGTGCTCTATATATATATTACGTACTACCGTTTAAAAATTGGTTGCCAATTGAACCCGAACGAACCGAATTGGTTACCAAGGCAAATCGATTTTTTTCCATTTGCTTCTACATCATTAAGGAAACTCTTTCCCAAAACTTAATAACTCCTAAACCTCCTTAAAAGGCATTTGAATGGCTCTCCGTCTCTCATGAGTTCATGACTTAGCCACCAAAAACAAAATAGCTTCAAAGTTTTCCATTTACAAAGCCACTGCGGATAGAAAGCCACGCCTACCGATCGAGGAAGAAGGCACGTTTTTCCATCCTTCACCTTCCTTGAAACACTCAACCTGTAAGCAGCACACACATGATCAAGGTTAAACGGTCTGATTATGTTAATTGCTTTACCTACGTTTCAAGTTCAGAACTTATCGTACTCGTACAGTGTCTAAGATGTCTTCTCCTTCCCCTTTGTATCCTCCGATGACATATATGGAGTCTTTAACCACTGAGACTGCTGAATATCCTCTTAAATCCTTCATTGGTTCTCCGGTGATCCATGTCCCTGTCCTTGGATCATATATCTCAACACTCGATACCATTGTCTCACCATCATACCCACCAATGGCATATCTGCAAAGTGCAAATGAAAACAACCTTAAACATCTTAACCAACATTTCTGGAAAACAAATTCACACGTAAACAGAAACATACAAATGATACTATTCTAGTTAGTTAGTGAGTGAATGTTGCCGGGTGCTTTGTTATTTGATAAATTCTTCTATCATTCAGAAATTAAATTACCATTTATAAATCAGTCATTCCTATTACATTGTTGAATAGAACATCACACTTTCCAACTTCCCCCGTGTGCTTGTTACTATCAAAGAAAGAAAAAATGGGGAGAAGCTTACAGTTTTTCGTTCAGAACAACAAGAGAATGGCAGCCTCTTCTTGACTTCATCGATGCAATATTCATCCAGGAGTGCTCTCTAGGATCAAATCTTTCAGCTGTGCTGTTTAAGTACGAGAGAGAGAGTTCCAACCATCTCTTTCTTATTAGCTTCACATTTCAGTGTCAAGAATAGGGGGAAAAAATATAAGAGAAGGATTTAACGTTCTTACTTCAGGTACTGAATACCATCAAAACCACCGGCAGCATAAATTGAACCATTATGCTCCACAGATGCAACTGCAAATCTCTGAGATCACAGAACAATGATTACCCAGAGAATAAAGCTGAACAAAATGTCAAGATATCATCTTGCTAAAGCTTATAGCAGTAGGTGACTGAAAGCATAAACTACATTTCTAAGGTTATCCTTGAGACTCCTTACTTAAAAGTACAAGTCAGCGAAATAGAGAGTGTTTTTCACTATAGATTCTCTTTCGGAACTTATGTTATTTAGCTGTGAGCTTCTGTAAAGTTTTATCTGGAGATCCAATTGACAACTTCAGCCTTTTGGCTTTCACCATACGTCACGCGAATAGAGAAAAACATTTACCTGTTTCGCCATTGACCTTGTTATGATCCATTTTCCTATATCTGGGTCAAGCATCTCAACATCTGAAAAAACATTAGTCCCATTCCCGCCTCCGATTGCAAATATTTTTCCATCCAAAGTGGCTCCACCTAAACTTCCTTTTCTCTCATTTAAGGGGGGGCTCGAGCTCCACTGGCCATCATTCTGGTTATATGATTCACCTTCAACAGAAAAAAATATATAAAATTCATAATCTTTTAAAAAAGGAAGAGGCAAATCAGAATCAAAGATCAGGCTTAAATATTGGTTGGATAGAAAGAGACGCTAAAATACGCGCAGCTAAAGTGAAGACCATGAAATCGATACACATCACTTCACAGTATTTGGCTAACCATATTCCGTTTTAGATGTTTGTTAAAAAATATGTAAGGTTAATATATGAGCCTTATACAGGCTCTAATGCACTAAATAGTTAACACATTTTGACAAAAAAGAAAAAGAAAAATCAGATAACGAAAAAGAGAAGGCATACATGTGTTGGTCCAGCCGCGGCCACCATCATCACCTCCAAAGACGTAAATTTTATCATCCAATTTTGCCACCGAAGCATTTGAACGGATACAATTCATTGAACTATGAGCCTTTACAACATTCCTGGATGGAAAATATGATTGCACTGATGACAACCATGTTTCAGAGTCTTTATCAAAACCGCCCAAAAGAAGAATTGCCTCAGTTGGATCTAAGTTTGAATCATCAGGTGAATGGATCTCCCTATCACTATCACAAGCTTTTGTGATTAAAGGACCTGATATGGACTCCAGCATGTTGCAACGCTCTCTCAATCTATGAATTTCCTTGTGTGCTTCGTCCTGAAATACCAAAAATCAAAAAGTAAATGTCATGGTTTCTCCATCACTAAATTTTTAGCTTATGGGTTTCAAAAACAAGAGGAATCGTTGTATCGAGATGAACACCTAACTGAAAGTGAAGGAGATTTATTTCTACTGAAATGGTGACTTTGCACACACTAAAGCCTGATTATAGTGCACAGGCTTGATAGATCAGTGGGAAATTATTGATGTCACAAAATGCAAACAACAGTAAACAAAATATCTTACCAGCTTCTCTTCCAAGTAACACATCTTGGTTGAATTTTCCAGCCCGTATGCCTTGAGTTCCTTCACCTCATCCATCAACTGCAAAAGAGATATATTAATGCAATATGATCCCAATAAATTCAATACGCCCCAAATACATGATAACCTTCCGAGAGGGAATAATAAGTCTCAATCAACTATATAGCATCAATAAGAAGATTTATTTACTAGAAGCTATCTTGGAGCAGTTCTTCTGAACAATTCATTCAATATTATAGCTAATAGAAACAGTTCTACAAAGTTAATAATTGACAGCTCAGATGGTTATAAGTAGAGAGGAGGAACAGACATGAGGTTGCCTAAAACTTGGATATTTTGGCTGAGAGAATTGGGGGTTCTCCCAAATTAATCCCTATATTTCCGGTTATCCGCTGAGAATAAATATAGCAGAAAACTTGACTCTTAACCGATTGACACATAGACTTGAACAGGAAGTAACACTTGAGGTATTATAACTGGAGACCTAGTGTGAATAAGTACCAGCCATATGTAGATACCAACGTACCTGGTTTATTGTATGTGGAAGAAGAGATGAGACAAGAGAACTGCCATCTATTTTCCCTTCTGAATATGTTTCCTCATCAAGTGTATCTCTGTCTTCCAAGTTCTTGCAGGTGGGAATGTTGGCTCGTTCAACAGTTTTCATCAGACTATTGTCTACACGCTCAAAGGAGAGATCTTTCAGTTTATCTAGAACATATTCCTTATCAATTGGTTCGGGGTTGTGTACGTCTGGATGGTGCTCAGAGAAACCAGGATAAGAAGCAGCAGCTGAGGAATCAGATTCCATTACAGTACTGGGTGGCACTTCCAAGCTATCCACTGGTTCATTCTCAGAAGGCTTAATCTCATAACTGTTGTCTTTCTTTTCACTTGATGAAATCAAGTGAAAGATCTGTCTTGTGTTTGATGTATTCATGGATGGTTTAGGTTTCACAGCAAAAGATGTCAGCAGACATATCAACTTACTGGTCTGAAAATGATCAAGCTCGAACCAAAAATGGTGAGGACTGTAGTAATTATCTGCAATTGCAGGTTTGAATTTTTCCTCGGAAAGTGGTTCACACTGTAACCTCATACTGATTTGAACCTGCAAAACCATTAAAGACCATTGCATATGTCATTAAATATATATACTGGTTATGGAACAGGTCGGCAGGGGATATGCCTCCTGAAAATGATATGTGATCCAATATATCATAGAAAAACATAGTCATGAAAGTGATAAAATCTCCCTCTGATACCTGTGCAGGATATGAGGTTCTCTCAGAACCATGAAAGGTCCAGCCATAAGGGTCAATATTTAGCTGACCAGAACCAGCAGCCTCAAATATTCCATGAAGTGTTCGATCAGAATAGTTGAAAAGAAACAATGGTAAACCTATATCAATCTTCTGCACGTATGAAATGTGGTTGGAGGGTAAACCTGTCAAACCATCAGTGGATTCAGGAAGCATGTACATAAAAATAGAAACAGGATGGTTGGCAAGCTAACAAGATTAAGGGATGTGATACTACATCCATCAACTTGAAAATTTGAATCACCAAGAGACGTAAAATGAGAAACTGCACAGTAACGCTGAATCATAGATACAAACATTGCGGGAAATACAGTTTAAACGATAAAGTGCATCAGGGAACAAGCAAAGAATCAAAGTAGACAGCAAACAAACAGTTATATTCAGCAGAAGCAAAAAAAAAAAAAAAACGCATGGGAGAAAAAGAAGGTTTTGAAGAAGACTCACCAAACAGCTGTTTTGACATACATTCTTTGATGGTATTCTTTGTGCAGCCAAATACAACACCACCTAGTTGACTTTTCGTCAGGTTTCTACATGAAAATTTTCCCCTCCGTTGAGCCATGCTGGGTAAAAGATGAGAATGTCAATGAATCACAGTGTAACAACAAATCCAGTCCGTCAATTATAGAAACGGGTCTCACTGAGCCAACATTCTAATTAAGCATGTAACCGAGAGACAAAATCACAGGATTTCGCAAGGTTTGACATAACTATACAACAGAAGGAGGAAAACCTTCAAACACATGGTGTGCAATATATCTAAATACACAGAAGAGGCAGCCTAAGGGAGGCAATGATGTGAAATTACAGAATCATGAGAAAATTTCAAGATGATGAAATTCAAAACAGGAAACACAAGTGTATACAAGTTGAGTCAGCTTAGCGAAGAAGCCGCAG